GGTATGATGAGACATCCCCTACCCCCCACGTCGACTTCCTTAAAATGACAGATGTCTGATGTTAGTCTCTACCATCAATGGATGCTGCACTCGTGTCGCAAGTTGAAAACTTTGAATGTCGTAAAACTAAAATATTACGTTCTTAAATGTATTATAGAATATTATATATATATATATATATATATATATATATATATATATATATATATATATATATATATATATATATATATATATATATATATAACGTTTTTCAAGTGATTTAATACACTTTGAGCATCCCCACCATGACAAAATCATGTCTACGTTAGTTTTTTTCAGCAAATTGAAAAAAAAAGTTGCATTTCGGGAAGTTTTAAGGTTAGCGTTACTGCCAGTTTATTAGCATCCCAATTACATCGGTAATTGGAGTGGGTGGGTGGATACGTTAAATCAAACGCCAGCGTCGTATGTTATTCTTTCGGACCTGGCGACTTATATGGCTTCTACTTTAGTGACATACTGTGGTCGGTTTTTTTCTCAGGAGGCTTTACGTTTCCTAACTTGAGTCAGGTACCCATCAGAGCTGGGTAGACTCAGGGCCACCTTACGTAATCGAGCCCAGGATCCGAACTTCGAGCCAGCAGTCGAGCGCTCTACTACCTTACCACGCCGCCGGGTAGTTGAGATACTAGCGAGATAGCGTGTTAGCGAGACCACGCTAAAATTCGCGTGACGGTGGCCTGATATTACCATCGCGACACAAAAAAACGCTTGAAGTGCGAAGAAAAGACAAAACAAATGTCGTTTCGCTCCGTTCCTGCACCCCCCCCCCTCCCCCACCCCATCTTCCTCGTTCCGGCTATGTTCCCTTGTTCCGTCCCTGTTCCCTCTTTGTTCCAATTATACTGTTATTGTTAGTGTCAATTCACCGGGGGCCGTTGTGACTGTCAATTACACTGTACGTGTAACTACTGTAACACTGGCAATAGCTCTAAAAGTAAAGTGACGAGGAATGCATTCAGAAAGCGAAAAGGAAAAAAAAAACTCAATAAAAAGCCACGTGCTGGCCACGCGCTTCTCGGCCGAGGTTTCGCGGCTTGCGACTGGTGAATAGTTTGTCCGTCTCGCGCGGCCTCTATCGCTTCCGTTCAACAATGGCGCGGGGCGGCGTGCCGCGGTGCGCGCCAACATCCCGATAAGCGCCCGTGTCGCAGGCGTAAATGGTGTTTTTCAAAGCCGGCTAGCCACGCTCCACCCGGCGCGGGGAGGGGGGGACAACAAAGTCAGCAAGTTGTTGCGTAACTCGACTAGAAAATCTGACGGTTACAAACCCACGCTCGTCCTTGGATCTCTTTCGCGAAAATGTAGTTAGTCCATTCATTGTTTCCGCTCCCCCCACCCTCGCCATTATGACTATTTCAGACGTAGAAATCTTTGTGGTAAAATCAAAGTCACTCAATGAATAACGCGTGGTACTGTCCCGTTATACGCGAACCCCCATGGAGTAAGGGGTTAGCAAATCTTAATACGTCATTGATTTCATTATCGCGGTTATCGGTAATGGTTAGGATTACCGGAGATTACGCGTAAACAATAAACCGTAGCCTATTGATATTTCGTGAGTTAGTCAGTCCAGAGCTACTCTGTCGAGTATCATTGTTAGTCAATTCTGTAGTCCGTTTCAATGACATAATATAACGATAGAACTATAGTCTGATGAAGTAAATAGAACTGTAGTGTGATGAAGTAAATGATAGAACTATCGCCGGGTGAAATAAATGGTAGAACTGTCGTCAGATAAAGTAAATAGTGGAATTGTCGTCAGATAAAGTAAATAGTAGAATCGTCGTCAGATAAAGTAAATAGTAGAATTGTCGTCAGATAAAGTAAATAGTAGAATTGTCGTCAGATAAAGTATAAATAGTAGAATTGTCGTCAGATAAAGTAAATAGTAGAATTGTCGTCAGATAAAATAAATGGTAGAACTGTCGTCAGATAAAATAAATGGTAGAACTGTCGTCAGATAAAGTAAATAGTAGAATTGTCGTCAGATAAAGTAAATAGTAGAATTGTCGTCAGATAAAATAAATGGTAGAACTGTCGTCAGATAAAATAAATGGTAGAACTGTCGTCAGATAAAGTAAATAGTAGAATTGTCGTCAGATAAAGTAAATAGTAGAATTCAGAGTCTCTTCCAGGCATCTCTTCGGGGGTCGAAGCCCCCCCCCCCCCCCGAAAATTTTTTAACGCCCCCCCCCCCCCCCCGCCCCCGAACGAAATGAAATTTATACAATTTATATAGAAAATATATACTTTTAACAGTGTCCGCCCACCCCCCCCCCCCGAAGAAAGTCTACCGCCCCCCCCCCCGAAAATTTCAAGTGCCCACCCCCCCCCCCCCCCCCGGAGAAAAAAGTCTGGAAGAAACACTGATAGAATTGTCGTCAGATAAAGTAAGTAGTAGAACTATCGACGGATGAAACTGACAGCGGAACTTCAACGACAAAAAATGCGAATTAAGCTTCAAAACTAAAGGTAAATAATAACCTCTAAAACTAAAGGGAAAAAAACGCCTCCCAGAATTGAAGAAGAAATCCCCACTCCCACTAAAAACGAGCGAGCTTCCCTAGACTTTTTCGTATATTTCTATATAACAAAATGATTGGGACGACGGAAAATCGACTCAGGCAACTTTCGGACAAAACGGTTTATTTTTCGAGAAAACACATAGAGAAGAAAAGTTCGTAGTTGATGTTTTTTTAAGGTATGTAATAATATTATCACATTCTCTAGGGCAGATGAGGCTTGACCGCTGGGGACAGCAACTCTTCTAGAAGAGACAACGCCAAAATCAAACAAAATGCTGCCTTTTAGTTTGTTCTTGGTTGGACAAAGGCTATGAAGGCAAATCTAAAAAGAAAAGCAGGTTGAAATCGGAGTTAACGGCCTATATGGGGCATAACCAGTTGACACATATACTTACTTGTGTTGAAGGTAATCTCTCCCAACACTAAAACTAAGAACGCGGAAGAAGAAAGAAATATCACGTCCTGATGGTTACTCTATAAACCAGAAATAGAGCAAGTAATATTTCCGAATACCGGAAATCACGTTAAAGTTGTAATGAACCTATGTGTGGGATCGACATTTTTTTACTTAACTGAAGAGGTACTCAAGTTAACACATACAAACAATCATACACACATGCAAACACACATACATAAAGATTGAACAAAAAATGTTTTTGCGGATTCGGGAAGGTGAAAAACTTCGAAATTAGTAAAAATCTGCTTTGAGTTTTTGCACGATTGTAATACTCCCTCCCCTCCCTTATACTCAGTACAAGAGAAACTAAAACGCCTTAAAATCAGAAGTAAAAGGAAGCCACAAAGCTGAAGTTAAAAAAAAAGCCACAAAAAAGCTGAAGTTAAAAAAAATGCCACTAAAACGGAAGTTATTGTCACAGGTGAACAGCCAATGGCTCTCCACCAGCTCCCCCCGCCCGCATCAGTACAATTTGACCCGGATGTGACGTCACACCAGGCAACCACATTGTTTGTTTATGGCAGAGCCACAGAGACCCGAGCACCATAGACACACCCCCACGTCTCACGCCTGACCCCCCGGAGAACACTTGTCCGAACTCCCCAAACAAAGTATGTGGGCCATTTTTTAAAATTGTATCTCAGATGTATTGACACGTTTCGGTCTTTAGTCACCTAGTTTGACGTCTTGTTTGACTTGAGCTTTGAGAGTTCGAGGTCAAAAAGTAATTTTAGCTTGATCTATTTCTATCAACGTTATTACTAACTTAAAATTAGACATGTATTTCCGTTGACAATGTAAGAGTATTTACATTTAAATTCAAATGTTTAGTAAAGTACAACGATTAATACAAGATTTACAATATAGAATTTCTTCCTCTATCATACAACGCGACCAGCATCGAAGACGAACTACAATCTCGTCTCCAGATCTGCAAGCTCGCCATACACATGTAAAGTACTAACACATTTTTTTTTCAGAAACAACGTTTTAATAAAAAAAAACTTGTATGTAATAATGCACTAAAAAGGAGAAAATAAATTATACACTACTATTTAAATATCTATAAAGAAAATAGTAGTGTATAATTTATTTTCTCCTTTTTAGTGCATTATTACATAAAAGCTTGTTATTAAAACGTTGTTTCTGAAAAAAAAATGTGTTAGTACTTTACATGTTTTATTTACAATAAAGTTACATGACTAAAAACCATTGCGCACCTATTGAACGTGATGACGCGTGTGTAATAGTATAGCGCGGAATAGTTTGATGAGACAGCCTGCTAATTGGACAAAAGTTTAATTAATTCATAAAAAATTAATCAGGCAACCAATGAAGTCAAATTTAATGTCGTTGCATTGTCTTCAAGTCTTGACCCACGTACCAACTACGAACCGTATCTGTCAGTTAGAAAAGCCTGCAATTTCGCTCGGGCGTTTTGATCTAGACAGACAGACTGGCGACTGACGGCAGAGGAAGCGAGTTAAATAAAAGCTTGTAAAAAGATCTAAAATGCGTATTTTAATTATTCTACCATTGACACAGGAAATGCAATTACCCTTGATATCTAAAGTTGGTAGACATTTAGTTTAAACTAACAATTCCCACTATTGTTTGGCCATACAACGTGATACTCATTAAAGAGTTTGCCTATACATATTGATGCCCATTAAAGAGCTTGGCCAACATATTGAAGCTCATTAAAGACTTTAGCCATACATTTTGATGCCCATTAAAGAGTTTAGCCATACATATTGATGCCCATTAAAGAAATTAGGCCACACAACTTGATGCATATTAAAGAGTTTGGCGTTACAACATGATACCTCTGACTGAAAGAGTTTGGCCATACAACTTGGTTTCCCATTAAAAAGATTTGCCATACAATTAGATAACCATTACAGAGCTTAGTCAAACAACGTGATACCCATTAAAGAATTAGGCCCTACATCTTGAGGTCTACTATTAGTAGGTAGTCCAAACTGGCGAAAAAGTGCGTTTTAGGGTCAGTTTTTGCGGTTTTCAAAAAAAAAATTTCACTACTTCTAGTTGTCCTATAAGAATAAAAATTATATGTCAATAAAGTTTAAGTCTTTATCTGTCGTAATCTGGTATTTTTATATCTGTAACACATGTCTGAATGTGTTTTATATTTGTTTGAAAAGTATCAGTTACGTCAACAAATTTCACCGTTTTGCGTGTACCGATCGACCCCACACTGTTTTATTTGGTCGCGGCTTCGCGACGAAGCATCGTAGAAGCATAATCTTAATGTCATTTTAAAGATCGAATTCTAGGCTATCGTTTGATGTATAAATTGAAAAAATAACTTGTTTATTTCATTTAAAAAATACAGATTTTAAACTTTAAATGACGATATATACACGGAAACAAACTAATTCTGTTTCAATTTTTACACCGATGTAAAGTTCAGTTTTATAACTACTTTGTGTTGTAAATTCAAGTATTTCTGATTTACGGTCGCGAAGCCGTACCCCCAATAAACATATAACCCTCGAGTCGACTTTCAGCCCCGAGTAAGTTGCTCGCCGAACGGTTTTAAAGGTTGACGACCGATGATGCTAAACGGATTTTACCCTTGCTAGAGCCTTCAAACAAGTTGTAAGTATCATTTTTAAAGTTTCATTTCCATTTTAATAAATGAATTTTAAGTTTGAATGTCAGTTTGGTTTAATTAGTACACGTTATTAATGTAAATTTGAACGCTTCAAGTCCACGGTTTTAGCGTGTGAACTACGCTTGTACACAGGGTGTGTTTAGACGTGAAGCTATTTAATTCAGGACATTCTAGGGACTTAAAATATAGATGCACTTAACTATTAGATGCTAGTGTTTACTAATTCTTTAAAATCTATTGACTGGGATCAATGATAGGGTCGTATTACTACAGTTAATCTGGACTATCACGTCAAAACTATGAATCGACAAATTCAAAATGGCCACCAGACTATCCTGGTTACTATGTGGACGAACTCAATTATTTACAGGGAACGAAGGTTAAATACTTATAAAATATTAATGAAACACAAAAGAAATGTATAATTATAATAACTATACATTTTTATCGATTTATTTAAAACAAAAGACACTAAATTTTAAGGACTAATGTGATTAATTTTTTTTATTTTCTGTTGTGTGCTCTGATTCTGATTCCCCTGCTAAATAATGTGAAATGGTCTGCGCCAGTCTCCGTAATAAAATGTACCAGATCAATTTTTAGATGGTGGTGCAATTTATTAAGATTCTACATGTTGTGACTTAGTTTTAAATGTTATATTAGTTGTAAGTGTAAGTAGTACTAGTAGTATTTCTCATTATTTATTTATTTTATATGCATATAATAGTAACAATGAAGGACAGTTAAGTTGTCCTATAGGATGTTGAGAACCACAGTATGGCATCTTCATTATTGGATATCTCAACCAGTGTGGCACAAGCAACTAATATTTAAAATTTCATTCAGTAGAATTACTCTTAAAAATATATATAAAGTATAAATTACTTTTAACAAAAAGGTGTTTTCAGACTTTTTCATATGTTTCCAGTTATAGTCATAGGACAAATAGTAGGCCTACACAATAGGCTGGTAGTAAATTTAATTCTATTTTATTAATCACTAAATCAATTGTTTATTCCATAGCTGGAGACATTTACAGTGGCCTATCCAGAACTTTCCTTACAAGGGAAGGGAAGAAGGCCAAGACCCCACTCCCCCCTACAATTCCCAAAACATATTACTTACTCTTGATGCTCCACAAGATCAAGGTTGAGGGAAACAAGACGTACAAAGATGTGGAGTTGTAGTTTTAAAAACTGTTCCCCCAAAGCAGTTATCAACCGTATAGGTTTGAAAAGAAACCAAAGCATGTGGCATCAACTGCTGCATCACTTGTAGGCATCACGTCTTTATTAAACTACATTACATTACATTTACTCTACTAAATTTTGATTCTGTTTCTCCTGCACTAGATAACTGTGGTATTTTTTAAAATAATATTTTAACTCATGTGATTTTTGAAAATAATTAACACATTTTTCCACGTTGATGTTACCAACACAATAGTTTTAGAGTTATTCCAAAGCAAAAAAAAAAAAAAAATTGAATTTTTTTTTTTAATGAAAATAAAAGTGACCAAAACGCATTTTTGTCATTTTCAATTATTTTTTTACCTTAGAAAGACTCATTTTAGATGACTGAAAAAAATTGGGCATATATATTACAAACTTTGCAGCAACTTTACCAATTTCTACACTTCTATGTTATTTAGTTTAAAAAATATGGGTTCTCAAAAATGGCACTTTTTGAAAATCAGTTTTTTACCAAATTTTGCTTTTTTAAAAATCGCATAACTTTTTTATTTATTGAGATATTTTTATAAAATTTGTGGCATAGACCTTACAATTAAAAGTTCTTTCATGACATACTCACTCCAGAAGTCTGCAATCAATAGTTAATTTCAGTTTGGACTACCACTATGGATGCAACTTGACCTTCGGTATCGCAAATATCCGATGTCAGTACACGCGGAAATGCCCACATAAAACCAACTTGTGGGAACCGAACTCGCTTCTCTGTGCTCTAATACTCAAACTTGCCGTTCCCAAGCTCCATTTTGTTTGACAATTCGACACTATTTACTTCAGATACGAGGCGCAATGAATTTGATGAATCCGTATAATGTTTACTATATAACAGGGTTCTCAACCCCGTGACGATTTAAAATAGGTGGTGCCCGCCTCCCTACCGATGTTTTAGAATGTGCTCTAGAGTAAAAAAAGGTTGGGAACCCCTGCTATTTAATATATGTATTGGCTACTTCTATAGGTGCTTGTCCTATCAGCTACTTTTATAGGTGCCTGTCCTATTAGCTACTTTTATAGGTGCCTGTCCTATTAGCTACTTTTATAGGCGCCTGTCCTATTAGCTACTTTTATAGGTGCCTGTCCTATTAGCTACTTTTATAGGTGCCTGTCCTATTACCTACTTTTATAGGTGCCTGTCCTATTAGCTACTTTTATAGGCGCCTGTCCTATTAGCTAGCTACTTTTATAGGCGCCTGTCCTATTAGCTAGCTACTTTTATAGGCGCCTGTCCTATTAGCTACTTTTATAAGTGCCTGTCCTATTAGCTACTTTTATAGACGCCTGTCCTATTAGCTACTTTTATAGGCGCCTGTCCTATTCGCTAGCTACTTTTATAGGCGCCTGTCCAATTCGCTAGCTACTTTTATAGGTGCCTGTCCTATTAGCTACTTTTATAGACGCCTGTCCTATTAGCTACTTTTATAAGTGCCTGTCCTATTAGCTACTTTTATAGGTGCCTGTCCTATTAGCTACTTTTATAGGTGCCTGTCCAATTAGCTAGCTACTTTTATAGGTGCCTGTCCTATTAGCTACTTTTATAGGTGCCTGTTCTTTTAGCTACTTTTATAGGTGCCTGTCCTATTAGCTAATTTTATAGGTGCCTGTCCTATTAGCTACTTTTCTAGGCGCCTGTCCTATTAGCTACTTTTATAGGCGCCTGTTCTATTAGCTAGCTACTTTTATAGGTGCCTGTCTTATTAGCTACTTTTATAAGTGCCTGTCCTATTAGCTACTTTTATAGGCGCCTGTCCTATTAGCTACTTTTATAGGCGCCTGTCCTATTAGCTAGCTACTTTTAAGGGTGCCTGTCCTATTAGCTACTTTTATAGATGCATGTCCTTTTAGCTACTTTTATAGGTACCTGTCCTATTAGCTACTTTTATAGGTGCCTGTCCTATTAGCTACTTTTATAGACGCCTGTCCTATTAGCTACTTTTAAAGGTGCCTGTCCTACTAGCTACTTTTATAGGTGCCTGTCCTATTAGCTACTTTTATAGGTGCCTGTCCTATTAGCTAATTTTATAGGTGCCTGTCCTATTAGATACTTTTATAGGTGCCTGTCATATTAGCTACTTTTATAGGTGCCTGTCCTATTAGCTACTTTTATAGGTGCCTGTCCTATTAGCTACTTTTATAGGTGCCTGTCCTATTCGCTAGCTACTTTTATAGGCGCCTGTCCTATTAGCTAGCTACTTTTATAGGCGCCTGTCCTATTAGCTACTTTTATAGGTGCCTGTCCTATTAGCTACTTTTATAGACGCCTGTCCTATTAGCTAGCTACTTTTATAGGCGCCTGTCCTATTAGCTACTTTTATAGGTGCCTGTCCTATTAGCTACTTTTATAGACGCCTGTCCTATTAGCTACTTTTATAGGCGCCTGTCCTATTAGCTAGCTACTTTTATAGGCGCCTGTCCTATTAGCTACTTTTATAGTTGCCTGTCCTATCAACTACTTTTATAGGTGCCTGTCCTATTAGCTACTTTTATAGGTGCCTGTCCTATTAGCTACTTTTATAGACGCCTGTCCTATTAGCTACTTTTATAGGTGCCTGTCCTATTAGCTACTTTTATAGACGCCTGTCCTATTAGCTACTTTTATAGGTGCCTGTCCTATTAGCTACTTTTATAGGTGCCTGTCCTATTAGCTACTTTTATAGGTGCCTGTCCTATTAGCTACTTTTATAGGTGCCTGTCCTATTAGCTACTTTTATAGGTGCCTGTCCTATTAGCTACTTTTATAGGTGCCTGTCCTATTAGCTACTTTTAAAGGTGCCTGTCCTATTAGCTACTTTTATAGGTGCCTGTCCTATTAGCTACTTTTAAAGGTGCCTGTCCTATTAGCTACTTTTATAGGTGCCTGTCCTATTAGCTACTTTTATAGGTGCCTGTCCTATTAGCTACTTTTATAGGCGCCTGTCCTATTAGCTAGCTACTTTTAAAGGTGCCTGTCCTATTAGCTACTTTTATAGATGCATGTCCTTTTAGCTACTTTTATAGGCGCCTGTCCTATTAGCTAGCTACTTTTAAAGGTGCCTGTCCTATTAGCTACTTTTATAGGTGCCTGTCATATTAGCTACTTTTATAGGTGCCTGTCCTATTAGCTACTTTTAAAGGTGCCTGTCCTATTAGCTACTTTTATAGGTGCCTGTCCTATTAGCTACTTTTATAGGCGCCTGTCCTATTAGCTAGCTACTTTTAAAGGTGCCTGTCCTATTAGCTACTTTTATAGATGCATGTCCTTTTAGCTACTTTTATAGGCGCCTGTCCTATTAGCTAGCTACTTTTAAAGGTGCCTGTCCTATTAGCTACTTTTATAGATGCATGTCCTATTAGCTACTTTTATAGATGCATGTCCTTTTAGCTACTTTTATAGGTACCTGTCCTATTAGCTACTTTTATAGGTGCCTGTCCTATTAGCTACTTTTATAGGTGCCTGTCCTATTAGCTACTTTTATAGGTGCCTGTCCTATTAGCTACTTTTATAGGTGCCTGTTCTATTAGCTACTTTTATAGGCACCTTTACTATTAGCTAATTTTATAGGCACCTTTACTATTAGCTAATTTTAGTGTTTATTTCAGCTACGATTTATTTCTCTGTTTAGGTCTTTTTTAAGATGCTGTTTTATTGACGTTACATTCACATATTTAGTTATTTTATTGATTTTAGTTTTGCTATTTCGTTATTTTATTGATTTTAGTTTTGCCTATTTCGTTATTTTATTGATTTTAGTTTTGCCTCTTTAGTTATTTTATTGATTTTAGTTTTGTCTCTTTAGTTATTTTATTGATTTTAGTTTTGCCTATTTATATGTTTTATTTACCGTAGGTGTGTCTGTCTACGGCTAGGTATTTTAATTGTAATGACCTGTCCTCTTATAGTTAACTATAAAAATTGTAAACGACCTTTGTTGTGTCGATGTATTCATCTCTACACCCAAGCTTAGCCTCACCCACCCCACACCCCTCCTCACCTCTAAACCATCACCCCCACCCCCCACCCCACATATACCAACATCTGTCATAGTTTTAATAACTAAAATCAGAGAAGAAAAAAAAATCTTATTTTTCTCTCTCTCCAATTCTTGCCTTTATTGCTGTTTATTACGTCTTGGGATCAAAGGTCAACCACCTCTCCAACCCACCCCCCTCCCAACGTGACGAGATGCTATAAAAAAAGGGCTCGCGCCGTAAGGGGGTGTCAACCCTATCCCCGCCCCCACCCCCCGCAGTGTTCTAGGGCCCCATTCTTTAAACGTTTTTTTTTTAATGTATTTGTCGTAGGCAACGTAATGGGCTTAGGAAGTCCGTTTAAAACGGGTGTAAGGGAGTGGGGTGGTTGTCTGGGAGAAGGTAGTTTAGTGCATGGGGTTGTGTTTTTACGATCAGAAGGGTTGGAGACAAGTCAAGAAGTCGAGATCTTGTCATTAAACTATCAAGTGTCTGAGGGAACGTCAAGACAGGTCTCACACTTTAGGCTGTGGTAGCCAGCTCCACCTCTCATCATTTCTGTGGAACATCTGATTGTAATTAATTATTTGATTGTTTACTCGACTATGTATAATAATAGTAGACAAAATTCAGAACTACCATTGAAGTCTTAGTTGTCCGATTGAGGAAATTTAAAGTCCGCGGTTACACTAAAGTGCACCTGTCTTAATATAATAGCTTATACGACAGGAGAAACTTGGGCTTGAAAATAAAGAACACAAAGAAAGCTATATAAACAAAACAGCTAGTATATAGATGTTAACAAAATAGCTGGTGTATAGGTAAATATTAACAAAGCTGGTGTAAAGCGATGTAGTAACAAAACAGCTGGTTATAACGGTATATTGACAAAACAGCTGGTTACAGCAATATATTAACAAAGAACTGAGGTATAGCGATATATTCATAAAATAGAAGGTTGTGGCGATATATTGCCAAAAACGTTGGTGTATAGCGGAATATAAACAAATCAGCTGATGTATATCGATATACGAGCAAAACAGCTGCTGTCTAGCGATATATTAATGAAACAGCTGCTGCACTC